CATCAGCTGTTTGCATGAATGGATTCCTTCGCAGGCGTTTCTCAATGATGTTTAAGGAACGTCTAAGATGTAAAGTAAAGGCGGCCTCCAGCTCAGAGTAGCTGTGCCCGTCCTTCTTCCACTCAATCTATAAATCTGAAAAAGTAGACTTTCACGTAAAAACGCGACCACTCACCTTTAATTGGTCCATATAAAATAGAGGATCCCAGCGCTGCCTTGTTCTTTCGCCCTTGAAAGTTTACGGCGGCCGCTATACTATCTTCGAAAATAGTGGTGTATATGCGGCGCGCAAAATCTTCAGTGTCACGTCCACTGAAGCATCTTAGGTATGAGGCCTACTATAAAAAGAATAATAGAACAGCAGCAAACCATTTGTTGATGGAAAGCCGGTTCCCGTAGTAGATTGTTTACCTCTTCAAATTGGGAGAGGTTGCCAATTGGTTCTCGTAGGGGATTGGCAGTCCTTGTGGAGGCCGGTCCAATTCCGCGATTGGGTGCATCGCTTAACATACTCTCCAACAACTGAAGACGGTTGGAGTTCCGCTGATCTCGTTTTATAAGGCACAGTTGGGCGTGGCGCGACTTGTCCAACTTCTGATGGACAGCATTTACAGAAGTTGTTAATGCATCCAGAGAGGCTATAATATCCTTCTTCGTTATTGGACTCGATGCTGAAAGTTGTCTTACTGAGGAGGAATCTTACCATTGGTATTCGATGCATCCGTTACTGGGAGGGTTTCGTGTGTTATTTCGGCACGAGTAGGCTTTTGGGGACTCTCCTAGAAAGGGAAATGATTTGTAAGTATATGTTACCTACCGGTGACAGTGGTGACGTTTCATTCCAAAGATAAGCGGGATCGGCTTCTTGGGTTGCTGCTGCAGCTGCCCGTCGTGGTCGTGTTGATTGGTTGTTATCGCCACTGGGAATACCTCCGATATGAAAGGACTTACAATCATTCCCAAAATAGGCCAAAAATCTACTTTAGTTTTACGAAACACTGGCACTCCGTCTATGGCCAGGTTGACAAAAATTTCATTTGGAACCTGGCGAATATTATGCCTTTGGAGTACTCGCTTAATTTGATCACCCAGTCCTATGTGAACGTACTCACCGATACCCATCCTTTCAAACTTATAATTGTATGAAGCCTCTAAGAATGTACGGGGGTCTGTTGAACTGATATCCGGAACTAAAGACTTAAAATTTTCTAGAAGATGAT